CTGGGCCGCGGTACCACAGGGTGATGACCTCCGTGGTGTAGCTCTTGACAGGGAGTGAGAAGATACGGGCCAGGCCGAAGTCGCAGATCTTAAGGCCGTCCACAGGATGGATGAGGAGGTTCTGCGGTTTGAGGTCACGATGAATGATCATGCGCGCGTGGCATGCGTGGATTCCGTTGAGAAGATCTTGTGAATACCGCAGGACCTCCTCCATGAGTAGCTGGGTTCCCTCCCTCCGGTGACCTTTCAGGATCCGATGCAAGTCGTCGGGAACGTACTCGAATATCAGCTGGTACTCGGTGGGACCATTGACCTGCAGGCCCTTCAACTCCACGATGTTGGGGTGAACGAAATCGCGCAGCAACGATACCTCACGGATGACGCGCGCGGGCACGCCGTCGCCCTGGGCGTCATCGATCGTCAAGCTCTTGATCGCCACCCTGCCGTCCGTCTCGCGGTCCCGGGCCACGAAAACCGTCCCGTAGACTCCGGTGCCGATGACGTGCATGACCTCGTACCTCTGGAGCTCCGCGGCGCCCGCCCAGTCCCGCTCCTCCGCGCCGGGCTCTGGCGCCGCCTCGGGGCTCCCGGCGCGGGTGGTGCACGCGTCCGCGGCGCTGCCGCCGCACGCGCCCGCGGAGGCCTCGCGGGCGCTGCCGGCGGCGCACGCCGCGCCCCGCCAGCACGCCATGCGCGCCGGGCGGCGAGGGTGCCCGAGCGCGGGGGGCCGTGCGGAGCGGCCTGGGAGCGGTCGCGCGGCGTGCGCGGGCCACCCCTGGGGCTCACACGTCTCTTGAGCCAGAATGGCTGCGGACCGCCCCCGCTGGGAGTGGAGAGTACCTCTCGGGGCCCTCGGACTGGGTGGGGGTGGTCTGGTGGGCGGTGGCACGTCATACCGGTCACACTTCTGTCTGTGAGTTCTGAGACGCCCAATCTCAGCCGCTTGTACTCAGACCCACTCACATTACAACCCACTCATGTTCAAACTCACCACACCATGGCTCGCTCATGTTCAGAGTCACCCACATGCCGCCACTCAATCAAACTCTGTCCCGCCCAGACTTGGACACTCAGCAAGGAATACGCTAGACAGTATATGAGCACATACGCCGATTAGGTATACGCTCCATGTCAAAATAGCAAAGCTCGGGGCGTGCGCGCAAACAACGAACAGCAATACCTAAGAAACGTCTGTCCGCGCGGACATTCAAACCAAACAGCCAATGGAGGAAACTGGACACGATGCCCCGAGGCTGCCGCGCCGCTTTGAAGCGCGGCAGTCGGTGGCTAGACGACCCAATGACCGACCAATCAACGACAGGCGTCCGAGTGTTCAACACTTGATGTGGCAAAGACGTCCCCTTGAAGAATCGGGCCTCGATTTTCCTTCGCCGCTTCGGTCTCCACGACCTATCCTGGGACTCGTGACAGAACATGGAAGCAGCGCCAGAGTGCGAGAGAAAAGGCCCTGGGGAAAACCGTGGGGCTGCGCCATTAAGGGTCGGCGTTCTGCACCACCCCTCGGGGATCTTCTGACCCAGGTCCATCTAGACCCGGGTCAGTCAGGCCTTGCAGAATCCTGCAAGATTCTGCACCCAAGCCCAGATCAACGCGAAGGATCCTGCAAGATCCTGCAGGATCCTGCACCCAAGCCCGGGCCAGTGCAACCCTGGCCCTGCGGGATCCTTCAAGATCGGGCGCTCTGATTGATCCTCGTTTGCACCGACCCCGTCTCGTAGGCCCCCGACACAAGAGAAGCCGGCCCCGGGGGAAGGGGTCGGGAACTCTGGTGCCGTGGATGGGAGCATTCGGTGGCAACTCCTGGAAGCCTCCCGTGCCATCTTGCCGGCTCTTGCGGGCCGAGGCTAGTCGCCGCGGAATCGACGCTAAAGCGACGCTAGTAGACGCTAGCCGACGCTAGCCGTTTGCACCGACCCCGTCTGTTAGGCCCCGAACCCCGCGGCCTTCTTCTCGGCCGGCCACTCCTCCTGCCAGGCGCTGAGGGCATCCTGGCAGTCGTGCTCCTGCGGGCGCCACGCCCCGCTGCTCAAGAGCGCCCTCTCCGTGCCTCCACCTTCCCTCCTCCCGCTCGCTCTCTGCTCCTCTGCCACCTCTCCCCCCTCCTCCATCGCTTCCCCGATTTGTGGGCCCTGCAGACGACAGGGCCGTTTTTGTTACCGGCTCCGTTTTGCCGTTTTTTTGCCGGTTCCGACGCCGTTTTTGTTACCGGTTCCGTCGCCGTTCTTTCACGGGTTCCCGCTCCGGTTCCAATCCTGGAGCCGTTTTTGTTGCCGTTTGCGGTCGCCGTTTTTCTTGCCGTTTCCATTTTCAAGGGACACTTTTTCGGAAACGGTGAAAAAACGGCCCTGCCGTTTCCAGGGCCCACTCAGCTTCCCCGTCCTTCTCCCCTCGCTCGCCTGTTCCCTCATCCCGATGATGTTGCTGGAAGCTTAAGAGTAATTCCGGCGCGCTGGAGAGCTAGTTGGCAAGAAAAATCTCGACGGACCTTTTGCTGACTTTTGCTCGGTTGCAAATTATGTTCTCGAAATTCAACAAAAACGAACAGCATCATCAAGGTCAAGCACGTAACATCAAGGTCATCTCCCTGCCCCTGATGCTGTCCGGCCCGAATCCGATCAAAAACGGTCCCAAGGCCCCTCCCGCAATCCATCCTGGCCCGTTGTTTGGACGCCCGAAGTGGGTACGGAAAATCTGGGTACGACGCCCAACAGCATATGGTGTTCAAAATCGACAGCGGCTGCTGTCAGGCAGGCGGCCTTCAGTCTCACATGGACAACGTCCGAAACGACACCGACAGCGACTCTCGTTCAACATGGGCATGATCTGCGGTCGGCCTCGGTACCCCTTCTTCCCGTACCCATTTCGATCGTGCCGACGTTTGTCGGCGACGAGCAAGGGGGGAAGTGACAAGGAGGAGGCCTTCTCAGAAGGCTCGGAAGTCCCCCGTCCTTCTGAGCAGTGCTCTGAGCCTTCCCGAAGACGCAGACAACTTCCCAGAAGGGGTGGAGGGCTTCTGAGAAGCCCCGCCGCCTCCTGAGAATGCCTTCTCACTTCTCACTCCCCCCTCGCTCGCCGAACCGCAGCTCGACCGTGCCGACGTCCTCCGAAGCGGATCCAGCCGAGGTGGCGAGAGACCTCCAGAGGGGCCGGCAAGGACGATACACACAACTTGTTTTGTCGGCGGCAAGGCAGAGGCAGTCCGCTCCAGCGCGTGGCTATTGGGGGCAACTGTAACATAATAAGAAACCACGACACAAACAGAAACCTTGGGCGCTCCGCCCGGATTCCCTGGATCCGCGCTGGCCCCCCCCGGCAGCGCCTCCAGCGCCGCCCCTGGCGCGAGCGCCAAAAGTTTATGTTTATGGCGTTTGTGCTTCTTCGACGAAAGGCTGTCCGGCGTGCAAGAGGAAGGAAACAAGACCACGGGGACCGCGCGGGGGAGGAGGAGCAGGAGGGTGGCTGGACCACGAGGATGGACGACGCCATCCTTCGAGGGGTGGAAGACTTGCTCGGATGCAAGTTGCGCGTAGCCCGAAGGGCGCAGTGCTTCCTCAGGCTGGCTCAGGAGGCCTGGGGTTCTGCGGCGCAGACGGCAGCGGCGGCGTATGTGGGCAGCTGGGCTCTGACCTTGAAAGCGTGCGCACGTGCATGGCGCTTGCCTCCTGGTAGAGCTTCTCATCTCGCTGCCCTGCGGTAGCCAACGCCATCGGGCGCGCCGAGGCGAGACTCCGCGCGCAGGGCGCTGGGGACATCGACGCAGTGGACTGGGCCAGCTGCTCGGGCGAACCACTCACCGGCCGACAAGGGCACTGGACGGGGCTGCTACGGAAGCGGGCGCGCGACGACTTGCTGCAGACCCTAGGAGAAGACGACCGGGTCGACCTGCGTTCCGCTGGAGGCCCAGGGGCAGGGGGTTGGCTTTGAAATCCAGGTCGTCAGGGAAGGGGAGGCGCCAACGAATGTCCCCAGCGAGCACTTCCTGATGGCCTTGGCGGATCGGCTGCGCTGCGATCTCTGCTCCACTGGAGCGACGTGCCGCCTCCGCAAGCAGGGCGGCACCGTCTGCGGCGCGGCGCTGGACAGGCGAGGAAGACGCGCGCTGAAGTGCCCGTGCGACCCCTTCAGATCGGGGAAGCCTGACACCATGCGCGACTTCTGCGCGGCCTACACGGTCACTGGGTACGCAGCTATCACAGAGCAGCTTGTCACGGCGTGGCATCGAACCAACCCCAGGACAGGGGTGCAAGAAGAAGCCAAGCTGGACGTCGCCACGCGCGACGCGGTTACGGGCACCATGGTTTATGTCGACGCAAGTTCTGCCTGCGCTCACAGCAACGACCCGTCGTGCCAATGGGCACGCCCCAGTCGGGTCGGCCTTGCAGCCCAGCACCGCGAGGGCGCCAAGCGCCTACCCACCTCACGTAGGCGATCTTGTTCCCATCGTCATTGAATTCTGTCAGCAGACTGGCCTCGTTTCTGACCGCGTGGGCCCTCTCAGCGTGCAGCAGCAATAATTTATAACCCCACGCAGTCTCTCCCCGCAAATCCCTCCATCGGCGTTCGTGAGGTTGCGCTGAAGCGGCCCCGCCAGCTCCGCCTCGTCGAGAGCCCCCGCAACCAGCGGGGGCGGCCGTTCGAAACCAGGAGGGGGGACCAACCTCGACAAAGCTCGTGCCCTGAGGATCGAGAAATCGATGTCCACCCGCTCGTCGAACTCTCGATCGAAGAGAAGCTTGAGGAGCGGGTGCTCCGAATGCAACAACTGCTGGAGCTCCTCCGAGCCCTCCAACCCGAACGCGAGGTCCTCGAGCACCTGCAGAGCCAAGGGGTTCGCGTTCTCCACCAAAGTCCAGGACGACGCGATAACCTCCTCGGAGCCCAAACTCCGAGAGACACTTGCTCTGGCTTGACGGTTCGCCTCGGGAGATCTGCACAAACTCTGATGCCAACGCAACCTTCTTACTCTCAGCTCCTTGGCGCGCGGGGGGGATTCGCCGGCGCGCCCGCGTGCGCTCCGCCGACCACCGACGGAGTTCCCGCTTGCCGTGGTCCTCGAGGCCCAGGATCGCCATTGCCCTCCTCGTAACCCGCTGTCAAACCTCAGCCGCTGCACAACAAGAGCTCGCGTCTGGAATCCTGGCCTCCATCTCCGAGAGCAAGGCCAACTGGACGAGCGCGATTATCGCTGCTCTCTCAACGCTCAGGACTGACGAATGCCTCAGGAAGAGCGAGATCTCACCGAAGCCAACTCGCCCAGCTTGGACGCGCTTCACCTTTTCAACCTGGAGAGAACCGCTCGTCGTCAACCAGCCTCCAAGAACCCCCATGAACCTCCCCACTTTGCCCTTGACCCCCACAGCCCCGCTGAAGACGCGGCGACGTTGCCCGAGAGAACCAGGACCCACCAATTTGACAAGGGAGACTCTTGTTTCGGGATTCAGGTCGACTCCGATCTGGGCCAACGCCCTCTGTAGATGATCGCTGCCGACGCGGGCGAGAGCCGGCAGATGGGGAGCTTCGCCTCCCATCCGTTGCGGAGGCGGACCTGGCCCAAGGACAACATGCTCGTTGCTATCATCCGCGAAAAGAGACAAGCGCACGTCCGTGGTGACCCCATTCGGCTTGGTGACCAACGCCATCGGACTCGAGGTCGCCCGCTGTCGAATCCCACAGAGCGCCTCCAAATCCTTCCGATAGAAGCACGGAGGTCCGCGAGCAACGCTCGGGTGGCCCATGAAGTCGCCCGTGCTCGGGCGCACGCAGATTGCTTCGCCTGGAGTAATGATCTGGCAGGCGCTCTGAATGGTCCGCCGGCGTTGGGGCCTGACGTGTCCCTCTGATTGCAGCAGGGGCAAAGTGTCCAACGTGATATCGCGGGGTGCACTAGATAATGCATTAGTAGCGTCCTCGTTGAAGATCGCGCGTGAGTAGCACTGCCTTCGCAATCCTGCGCGATGCACAACGTTGAATAATAATGGCGCCTTCCCGCCTGCGTTTTGTTTTTTTCGGGGGGGGGGAATTCGCGGCGCGCGCGGTAGTGCTTACCTATGCCGACGCGCTCTAACCCATGAATGAGAGTTCCACACTCTGCCCAAAAGGGCAGAATACATCAAAAATCTGGCCTTCAGCGCCCTGCATGCCGCTGCGTTTACAAATCCGCAGCAATCGGACACATCGACGGAAACAACCCAGTCAGTTCATAAACCTGTCCGAGAAAGCCGTCGCCGATTCAGGGCGCAGCGCGGCCCCAATGCCGCCCCCACGAACATTACCCCAACATTCTTCGTCGAGAAAAAGTAGCCGCAGCTCCGAAGGGAGCGACCACGTCGGAATTGCCCGTCGCTTTGGAAGCCGCCTCAACTGTCGGATAATGCCGGCCATGTCGTTTCTCGCGTCCGCTAAGTTCTCGGAATGCGTCGTGCTGTAGCGAACCTCCTCCGCGGCATCCAAGCCGTCGGTGAGCGGCCGCCCGAATCTCTCCACGAGCTCAGCTTGCAAGTCGCACTTGTCGGCGCCAAGACCTCCGGAAGTGGCAGACCGACGCGGAAACTCAAATCTCTCGAGCTTCGGCATTCTCGGACTTCGGCGCGAAACACTTCCTGTGTCCAGGACGCGCCCCACGTTTGGATAAGCGCCGGATGGGCCTCTGCACACTGTAGTGGTCGCGCAACTTCCAAGCGTCGTTCAATTCCAAAGTCAGGGATGCCTCGCGTTCCTTGTTGAACAGCTTCGGTAAGTATCAGATTCTGAATGTAGCCCGAGCAATGTGGAGTGCCAACTCGCCGCGTTGCTCCAGACGGGCCCCCCCGCCGGGCGGGGGCAGTGGCTCCGAGACCCCGACCTCCAGAGCACGCGGGGCCCCGAGGTCCACGGACCGAGCCTGGCCGAGGACAGAGCCGACATCCTGGGGGAGTCCCTGGGCAGGAGCAACAGTAAGGCGAGAAGACTTTCCTGACTTTGAGTAAGGACGAGCGCTGCTCCTCCAAGTCCGTCAGCTCCTTCTGAGCCTCTGTCTTCTTTGAAACAATTCCCACTGCCTTTGCCACTGATGCACTCACGGCCGAGTCCCACACCTCATCAGGAGTAGCCCTCGCACACGAGCTGACCCAATCCGCCTCGGGTATGTCCGTGACCGCCGACTGTTTGGCCTCGATCGCGGCGGTGCACGATGTGCCTTGGGTGATGGAGCGCACGATGCGGTCGTAGTCCCACGGCGGTTGGCGCTCCGCAAACTGCGCCTGGAAATCGTACTCCACCTGCAAAACAATGGGTCGATGCCCGCGGTCGTCTAGGGTCGAAACGGGTTGAAACAGCCGCCGTGCCCCGCGAAGGATAACACATCGCTGAACATGAGGCCGAAGCTGCTGAATAATCACCATGTAATCAGTTCTCGAGGTGGAGCCGCCGACGCCGTGGGCAGACGTCCTCCTCCTCGTCCTCCTCAACGGAGATAGCCTCGCCTTCATAAGAAAACCCCGAACGTTGTCGAGGCCGCCGTTCAAGTCCATGCCAACGATGGGGGTGCATCCCCCTCCCGTCGGCTGCAGCAGTTTCCGCAAACATCCCATCATTATGCTAACTAACCTCTTATGTTCAGCCCTGCCCGCTCGAACGCTCGAGTATACTGGCAAATACAAAGTGACGGAGAGCACGTCCATCACTACAGACTTCAAACGGACGGCGCCGCAGCGCCCCTCGAGCTCCACGGGCGGGGCGAAAATGCGCTTGATGTAGCGCTGCGGGAATACTTTTGTGTGCAACGTGATACTGGTACCGCGTGGTATATTCGAGGACCTCGACAAACCAAAATAAATCTCATAGTGGCGAGAGTGGCGAAAAACTCGATGTGGATCGTCGTCGCCCTTCCGCCGACATGTCCCCTGTAGCAACACTGCTCCCACATTCCCAAACTCCGCTGGTA